AAATTTATTTTTACTAATATTAGCTTTAACTTATGTATTTTAAATGCATTTCTTTAAGTTTTGTAATAATTTTAGGTGTGTATGTAAATTGTGTTGTTAAATTAACGAGGTCCACTACTATAACTAAACTTCAGATTCACTAATTGGTTCATCATGTCCTCTTTCTCTTCCAGGATGCAATTCAGGGCACCCAATTGATTTATTTGTTTTATCTCCTTGCCTCCCATTGGTCTATAAGAGGTGTTAGCATTTCCTTTTATTTTTATAACTATTATTTTTGAGAGGAGTATTGGTCAGATATTTTTCAACTATCTCTAGTTTGAGATTTGTTTGCTATTTTGCTAACAACTGAAACAACTGTATTGACTTGGAAATAATTGCATAGATACAAGATACACCTCTTAACCATTTCAAAAAGTAAATGATATCCATATGACATTACGGATGATAATTTTTTTTCAGCAGTCAAATTGGGATCTTCCAGGATACTCCACCAGAATATTCCTGTTTTTCTATTTCTGTTCTCAGTTTTTTTGGAAGTAAGTCACTCAGTTCTCTGGGAAATTTTAAGCCCAAATAAATTCAATAAATTTAGTCCTTATTTAATGAACAACTCTGAGGTGATGAAGTAGGTTATCAACTATCTCTTTAAGACTTCAACCATAAGTCTTTCTGATTTTTGCATCCTTTCGTTTTGGGGTCACACCCAGTCATTACTCGGGGATCACTCCTGATGAGACTCATGATACCATATGTGGTGCAAAGGATCAAATTCAGGTTGGCTGCATGCTAGGTAAACATCCTACCTTCTGTATTTTCCAGACTCAGAAATGTTTCTGTAAAATGGGAAAATCATTTTTACATGAGAGAAAACTATATTGTTGTGAAATATAATCATCATAGTATTTTACCCTCCAGTTCATAAAAGCCATCTACTTTCTGGAGGTTACATTTTGTGCCACTCTTGTGCCTAAAGATTTCTCTTTTGAGTTACACCAGATTGATTAGAATTTCTCTCTCTCTCTCTCTCTCTCTATATATATATATATATATATATATACTATTAAAATGGGCAAAATAACAAATCTCTGCTTCGGGTAGCTATGAGAATTTCAAAACTAGTGTGCAAAGTGAGAATCTATGAGATACATAGAGGTACCAGAAAGTGTTGGATATTTTTATTATTACAATTGTTGATATTTTAAAGTAAGTAATGTGAACTAGAATTTGAATCAAATCTCTTGAAATAATTTCATGACTATGATTTCCTTAAAAGTATATGAAAATGTGAAATCATACATTGAAAACATTTGTTACTGGACCATTGGATTCAACGAGAAATGGAAAAAATTCCAACTGTATCCAGTCCAAGCTACTTGTTCAATAACTAAGTCATGTTTGTATTAGATTTAGAGGCAAGAAAAGAGCAGCCTGATATTTGAGGTACATAATTATCTACATTCTTTTTCCCGGAGGAAAGAACCACTAGAGCTTAGTCTTTTAGTTGAGAAGCATCTTTGATTCATAAATATTACGAGCATCCTTAATGTCCCATGACTATTACCTAGAGCAGTTTTAGCTTTGAAGTGCAGAGAGCGGAGGAAATGAACATTTATATCTTTGGTACATATCATCCACTGATCTGTTATGACATTTATCTATAGTCAGGAGGAGAAAGAGTCATTTGGACATTAGTGACTTTGAATGACTCCCACTTATGTCTCCATATTAATATTTTTTTACAATGAGAAAATAGCTTTCACAGAGACAAGTTTTTAAATAGCTTTTCAATGAAGCCATCTTGCTATTTTCTTTCAAAGAGCTCAATTATGAATTACTTCACATTCTTAATTTAGGTCTGACGTTCTAAAAGCAAATTTAGTGTGAAAGAAGTTCAGCAAAGAGCTAGCCAGTGCCTGCAGACCTCAAGTGGACTGTTATAACACAGAAACAGAAGGGACTATGCGGTCAGTGCCAGTATAAAGAAAAAATTACAGGCACTTGTCCATGTGGCATGGATCTGAAGAAATATCAAGTTAGAAAAGTTTAATAAAGCCAAACGAAGGAGGGGGCAAGGGGCTCCAATTATTCTCAGAGAAAAATATAGGTAAAAAATATTCCTGGATAAATAGGCAAATCATCTTATATCATCCTATCTCTATTAAATCTCTTAATCTTTTCTGAACTCTTGGAAATAAGGAAACCTCACCCTTGCCCAGGAATCTTCCTGTTGCAGATCTACTCACCTTCCTCCCATAATCCAAGAGTTTTTCTGCAGGCATCTCTTAAGCAAAGCTATTGAGAAGAGAAAAAATACCCACGCATATTAATTTTGTATAGCATTAATCCTCCAGGAACTTGGAGAGAAAAAACAAATAAGTAACTAAAGCAAGCAGATAGTCTCTCTCTCTCTCTCTCTCTCTCTCTCTCTCTCTCTCTCTCTCTCTCTCTCTCTCATACACACACACACACACACACACACACACAATGGAGAATGATGTAACATAATGAGAAAGAACAAAAGAGGTGTTATAAAGGAGAATTAGGAGGGGGCCAAGGATATAGCCCAGTGGTGAGAGCATGTTCCCCACGTATAAGGTCCTGGGTTGATCTCCATGCATTGTCTGCTTTTCTGCCCACTTCCACTCCAAGATTGCATTGCCCACTTCCCCCCAACTCCCACCCTAAGATTGCAAAAAAGCTACATAGAAAGCAGGTGAGGATTAAGGAAGGACAAGTGGGGTCATAGCTAGGGGAGGCATTCCTATAAGACTAAATGCAAAGAAATCAACGCAGAAGGATATTCTAGATTTGACTATTGTAGACTTTGGGAATATGTTAGACTTGATTATTTTAATAGAACTGCATTATAAGTTAAATGAAATAATTTATGAAAAGCATTCATTTATTCCTAAACAAATATAAGAGCAAGCAAGTGAACTGCATGGACTTAGGGATAAAAAGAGTGACACATATTTAAGTAAGTCTTGTAATGATTTATGGGGAAGATATAACGCATCTATTATAGGAAGAGGACTTTCCCCTTTTTCATTCCCCAAATGTTTAGTCTTAGTGGCAAAAGAGTGAAAAAAAGAAATGAAAAAAAAAGTGTAACGCAGAGGGAGAGTAGGGGGATTTTAAGTAAGAAAATAAATTAATGCAATGGTTTACATAATCAGGTAAATTGAAAAACAATGGACATCTTCTTGAACAACCATGGACAACTTTGTAACTGTGTATCTGATTCAACTACAAATTAATTAAATAAAAATAAGTAAATAAAAAGAAAAAAGAATGGACTTTAAGAATATGAAAAAGAATATAGAAAAGGTCCTTTTCCTGTGGAGACAGATTATTGGTTAAAGTCCTCAGCCAAGAGAATACTCAGAAGGTGATTTTATTAAGTAACACCAGTGGAAAAGACCTGGGACTCCAAATAAAGAGGAGAAGGCTTTTATTTCGGGGAGTAGCTGCCACTTGGAGAGAGGCAAATTAAAGCGGTACCACCTAAACAGTTACAGAAACAAATCACACATCCAGGCATATTATTCTTTTGTTCGTCCTTTATTCGTTCCTGAGAAACTCAGACCAATAAGATATCCCAACAGAGCTTGCCCTTTTGTGTGTGGGGATCCAGGCCGATCCCGGGCTGGCTTCCTTTGGTACCTTGCAAGCAGCAGGAACCTTTCTTCCTCTAACTGCTTATTTTCTCTTCAAAACTTCTTTTCCTGCAGGAGGCGTAGGTTATGGTATGACCCAGGATCACAACCAGAATGCTTTTCAAAAACTTGAGGTGGCAGAGGGAAGGGGGAGAGAGAGCAGTCGGGAGGGAGGGGGAGAGGGAGAGGGAGAGAGGTAAAAGAGAGAGGAAGAATCAATCTAGTCAATTTCCCATGGACTATTCGGGAGAAGGGTATTAGCATTACAAAATAGCCCTAGTTCGGAGGTGACATTTATTGGAGACTCACCCTAAAGGGAAGAAGAATCAAGTCGCTGGAAATTAGCCAGTGAGAGACCATCTATTTTGATTAAGATGAAAGATCACGTTAATCAATCATCCTATTTTGGGCTGTAGATGGCACCAAATTGTTAAGTGGGGAGGGAAGGGAACAATTTAGGAGGAAGGATAATTTTAATCAAAACGACACATATCTCTGCCTCTCGAAGCACACCTCTGTTACGCGCAGGGTTAGTGTGTGTGTGTGTGTGTGTGTGTGTGTGTGTGTGTGTGTGTGTGTGTGTGTGTGTGAAGCCCTCGGGGTTTGCCGAACTTCCAGGCTCCTGTTCGGATATCAGTGGGTGGGGACCTAAATCGAGCTTGCACCGTTTTCTTTTTCAATTAAAAGTCGAGCAGAGGGGAGGAAGGGTGGAAGTCGAGAGAGCTTGAGGGCAAAGAAATGACAGTTCAGACCAGAAGGACAGCAAAACCACCAAGGTCAGGGGGTCGGGTGGCGAATTGAGCCGAATCCTGCAAGACAAGCATCTAATCTCCAATTCACACTTTTTTTTTTTTCCCTAGAGGCCCCCTTTCAGTCCGCTGGGCTCAGCCTTCTGGGCGTCTGAACATCCTTCTCCCCGCTTTTCACTTTGCACGAACCACGCACCCCAAACACTTGGGGGGTTCCCCACGCCCCTCGAAATCTTAGCCCATTGCGGGGCGGGGCAGCTTTCGCATCGCTCGGACCCAACTTTCCTTCCTTCCTGGGATGAGAATGTGAACTCAGGACTGCCGGGCAGGTGGAAGCCCGAAATCTAGGACCCCCCCCCCCCCCAAAAAAAAAATCAAGGCGGCCAGATCTCGGTTGCACAGGGAGAGGCGCGGATCGCGGCTGAGAGCACCGGCCCGCGAGCCCACCCGACTCGCGCTGGGGCGTCTGCAGTCGCAGTTGGCGCAGGAGCTATTTTTAGCCGCACCCCCCACCCTCCTTCCCTCCCCTTCCCCCGGGCGGCTTGGTAGCCTCCGGCGGGTGCCCCCGGGTCCCCCCCGCCGCGGCCAGCTCTTGGTCGCGTCCACGCGGGCCGGGAACTGAGCATGTCTGCGAGCGCTCGGCGGCCTCGGCGGCGGGGGCCGGGCCGGGCTGCGTCAGGCACCGCCGCTGCCCGGCCGAGAGGGGCGCACTCGCCGCCGCAGCCCCCGCCCGGACGCCCGCCAGTAAGTTTGCGCGGCGGCGGGGAGGTGGGCTGCGGGTCGGGGCGACGCGGGGAGCCCGGGAGGGCGGGGGGCGCGGCGGGTGCGCCCCGAGAGCTGCCCGGGCGCCGCCGCCGCCGCCCGCCCGTGCCCGGCGCCTCCTGGCCGGGCTTTTGGCCAAACTGCAAAGCAGGTGGTCGCGGGGATGCTCTCGGGGCAGCCGGGGGGGAGACGCGCGCGGCGGGAGGCGGGAGTGAGTCAGCCAGCGGGGGGCTCCGGGAGAGGGGACCCCGCGGGCGGGGAGCGCGCCGGGCGCTGTCGGCGGAGGCGGGTCTGGGGGTGCGGGCGCCGCAGAGGCAGAGCGGGGGGTCCCCCGGAGGGCGTGTGGGAACCGCGGCCACACGTGGGGTGGGCAGTGCGGCTGCCCGCGGGGGAGCGTGTCCCGGCCGAGAGCCGCGCGGGGGAGAGGGATGCCGAGTGGGGCGCCAGGAAAAGGGATGCGAACCCGAGCGCCGGGGCTCCGGGAACACGCGGACCCCGGGAATGTTGGGGCGGGGGGCGTCTAGGGGACTCGGTACCCGGTGCGAGCGCGCCGGTGGTGGAGTGAGGCAGCCCGGAGAGCAGCGAGGTACGAGGCCACATGTGCGGGGACCGGCTGGACCGAGGGAGGACGCAGAAAGTGCATCCGTCGCTGAGGCTTTCGGATGCAGGGGGAGGAGGGGAGCGGCGGGGACGGCCGGGGGTACCGCGGCTGGCGAGGGGCCTCGGAGACGCGCGGCGGGGGTGGAGAGGCGCCGTGCAGCCCCCCGGGAGGGTGATAAAATCGCCGTCCCCGGGGTTCCCGGGCACCCCAGGCTCCTCCTCCTTTTCCTACCTGCTTCGGTCACCGGACGGTTGGCGCCGGCCGAGCCGCCGGGAGATCGGGACCCGACCTGGAAGTAGGCGGCCTGGAAGGTAATCGCCGACGGGGAGCCCCCTGGTTTGCTGGCCCCGTCGGGGTACCGGTCAGGGGCTCAGCCCGTGCGCGCGGCGGGGAGGGGGCCGGCACGGAGCGGGTCGCGTCTAGGCCGGGCTCTGGCCCGGGAGGTGCTGGGCGCGGGGCCCGGGAAGTCGGGCAGAAGTCGGGCGGCGGGCCGGGGGCGGGCCGGGGGGTCTCGGCGGCGAGGGGATCCCCGGCTCCCGGCGGCCAGAGGAGGGGATTAAGGGAAACGTGCTTTCCCGCGGCCCTGCCGCCGCTCCTCGGGGTCACATCCCTTCGCTGGTCCAACTGGGCGCCGCTCTAGCATCTCCCAGCGACTCTCACCCCACCCGCTTCTCCGAGAACCCCAAGGCAGACCCGGGTCTTGCCCCGCAGACTCGGCGCCCAGGGGACGCTGCTGTCCCTTCTCAGCCCGGGGGAATCCTCAGTCTCTGCGAGGAGCGAGACTGGCGAATCTGCTGGTTGCTCCTCCCCGGGGGTGGGGGTGGGGGGTCGCGGGGCGTCGCTCTGGGGGCTGCAGGTGATGCAGGTGGTGCTGATGAGGCCCCGCAGACCACGGGATCCTTGGAGGGCTCCTGCGGGCCCGCGGAGAGGAGATGCCCACAGTGGGCAGGTTTCTGGATGGGGGGTGGCGGGGGCAGGGGGTCTCCGGAACATCCCCCCACCCCCCACTTGTGAAATGCAGCCCGCAAAGGAAATAAATGGGCAGATAAGTAGAATAAACAAGCCGTTGCACGCTCACACAAAAAAAGCTTTATGCATAAAAATAATAATACTTTGCCTCTGATACCCCCAAATTTCCCCCGGCTGATCGCTAGCAGGGAAGGAGCTTCTCTCCGGTGTTCAGGAGAGTGGACAGGGAGATGGTGGAGGTCGGAGTTGGCACCGGCTTGTGGCCGGGCGCCGTGCTTTAACGGGGTCTTTTGCCTGTGTGAGGACTGAAGATGAAGGCGACTCGGGAAACCTGGGCCAACTGTGCAAACTCTGAAGAGACAGCAGCCACCTTACCTGTGCCTGGTCTGTTTGATGGCCAGAGGAGGAAGGGGGCGTGCAACCCTCAGACTCTCAAAGTATGAGGGGCCGGGGTGCAGGGGGGTCAGGCGGACACCAGAGGCTGGAAGTGGGAGATCTGACCTTGGAATCGCTTGTCTTGCAGGATGATCCCTGACCCATGGAGGGGCAGTGCTGGCTGCTAGTGGCCTGGGCGGCACTCCTTTTGAATCCCACGTTCCCCCTGGGCTGGCCGTGTTTCTAGTATATTGAAACTTATCTTTGCAATATGGAAGATGGAGGTTTTCAATAAAAAGACGGATAGTTTAGTTTTTGTTTTGACTACTATTTGCTGCTCAAATAGGATGTAATCTATTCTGATGGTTTTGCGGAGACTCAGTTGGGGGTGGAGTGGAATGTGACCTGAATAACCAGTGCCACCCCTTACCTCCTGCCTTTGAAATACAAGGACTTTGTGGTGGGTTGGATTTGAATATAATCTGTAATGGACTGTCGTTTCATTTTATGAAAATAAAATATATAAAAATATTAAAAATATAAATATATTTTATTTATTTAAATAGATAAATACAATTTATTTAAATATATAAAAATAAAAATGTTTAAAAATGGTAAAAAATAAATAAAAAGGACTGAATCCTTGGACTCCTTCACTGTTGGTAACCCAAGTCTCACCTAGACAGCACTTTTGCCTGAAAGTTTCATGAAGCGCCAGGGATGTGTTTGCAAATAGTGAATGAAATTTGGCTGCCCTCAAGTTAAAAAAAGTGAGAAATGACCTGCTGATGTTGACTAATGAGAGAGAAGTGGGGTCTATGCGGAAGGAGAAAAATTTCTTTTTCCTTCCTTGAATGGGCATTTAAAAAAATACTTAAAAAAATAAATAAAGAAATATACTTGTAGTAGTGGCATGTGAGGGGGCAGGGTCAGTATCCCAGAGGGCATTGGCATTGTTGAAGATAGTTTGGGATTGGATTTTGTTTACAGTGGGCACCCCACGGGCAGAGGCCAGAGTGCTGCTTACTTTCTGTGGTACCCTGGATAGTTCCTCACAAGAAAAATTATTGGACCCAAGTACCAGTAGTGCAAAAGCTGAGCGACAGTATAGCTGAGAACAGGACAGATTGAGGATCAAAAGCAGCCCCTGCTGGGTTTTCTTCAAATCTCCCTATTGGTCTCAGTGAAAAAAATAAAATCAAGAACAGTTAACATGGAAAGACTTGACTTTGCAAAAATGCCCCTATATTGAACTTGTTTGCAGGAAAATGGAAGTTTTCTTTTCACGTAAGTTTTTTTCCCCCTACTTTCAGGAAAAAACATCCTAAAATATTTTAGGAATGTGTAAAATGGTAGATCACATAATATGCATTTGAATTCAGCATTTTTGATGATACCAGATTAAAGCTGCTTGACTAGAATATGTTCCCTGAACTTGTTTGTTCATTTGCTCTCTAAAAGGCAAGGTTTTAAAATTTATTTCAATTGAAATTGATAAAGATCTCAAGTAGGGACCAAGCAGATAGTACAGTGCATAAGGTGCTTGGCCTGCGTGTGGGCAAGCCAGGTTTGACCTCAGGCATGCCAAAAGGTCTCCTGAACACTACCGGAAGTGGTCTCTGAGTATAGAACTAGTACTAAGCCCTGAGCGCAGTCAAGTGTGACTCATCGAAAAAACCCCAAACACATATCCCCAAATCATGTAGTAAAAGGGCTTGAGCGAAACCTTGTGAAATATTCCACAAAGAAACATTGGTGTTTGTGGATGTACACTTAGGCAGCGCTGAAGCCCGGATCACTTGTGGTTAATTCTGCTGATAAATCACTAGCAGGACCTCTAGTGAGAAACCAGCCTTTGGTGTTTGTCCAGTGACCTGCTGCCTAGAGAGGAGGAACAGGGGCTTCTACTCTTAAACATTGTGAGCTCCCAACTGTTCAAGGGCTGCTTTATGCAGGAAGTCAGAACTCTCAGGCACCAGGCAGTGCTTGGTCATGCTCCTGCTGAAGCCCAGAGGGAGGCAGGCCATCTGGTCAGTGTTCCTAGCTGCCCACCCTGGGCCCCCAGTGCCCACCCACCCCTCCTGTTGGCAGGTTGTGTGTTTGAGGGTATGCTTCTCAGGGACAAGCATCAGGACCGCAGATGCCCCTCTGGAATAACTAGTTCCTCCCCCCTCTACCCTGCCCTTCCTCCAGTCCCTTAGGACTGTAAAAGAAGCTTTAGGCTCCAGCCTGCTCCCTGGGGCACCCAATAACTCCTCCTTTTCTCCTGTGTGTTCCAGCACAAACAGCTCTTTCCTGTTTCCAAGCAGAACAGAGATTGGTGTTGCTCTTGGAAAAAGATTGGTTGGGCTGTGATGGGGTGTGTGGTGGGGGGGAACTCTGGGGTGGGGGCCCGGGGAACCCTTTTTACCCACAGACACTTTCCTTTCTATGTATCTCTGAATTGCTTTTTCAGAGTGCTCAGTTGTACGTTCTCGCTCTTAGGAAGATGCCCTCTTTCCCAGGGGGCCGGTGAAAGCACCAAGGAAAACAGAACTGGAGTGTGTGCTTTGCTAATGTGGATTGAGCGCATCAGACTGTGGGCTGGGGTGTGTGCCCAGGGAGAGGATCAGAACCTGCAATGAATCACATGTTGAGAAGTCAGGGCGGGTATTTGTAAAATCCAGGGTCTCTGGCCTTGAAATGCAGAGTGTTATTTTGCAACCAGTTTGCAAAACCCAATTCATGGAGATGAAGGGACACATATTCTATCAGTGTCTCTTAGAGTCTGCAAAAGAAACATAGGTTCACTCTGACTGAATTGGGATCAGTTAGAGACATCTCTAAGCTGATGGCTGAGAATCTGAACCCAGTGGGGTGCACTGCAGAGAGGAAGAAGAAGCCATTCGTGTTATGTGGATTTCTGTAAGACTAGGTGAGGGGGAGTGAGCAATTTGAGGTCAATTTGGTCACCCTTCTTTCTCCCTTTTTGAGAAACAGTTACTGATTTTATTTGATTTTTGTGCAAGAAGAGATGGTTTGTCTGTATGTACTTATT